TGGGCCTATATTTAAGATTAAATTTGCTGTAACAGCATTTCAGAAGTAATTTACTGTGTATTCAGTGTCTGTTCCTGTAAAAATCAGAAATTGTGAGACAAGATTTTTTCTCGTCTTACTATTTTGCATGACAAGATGTTTGCGTAGATGATATATAAAATTTATCATTTGTTTCCATTATAGAATTATAGTTGTAAAAAATTGAAAAAACATCGTTTGTGAAAATTGAATTTGCTCTTTGTGAATTTTGGTGTTGTGTATTTTTGATATTTACCGTGAAAACCTTTGAGAAATCTAATTCTACATCATCTATTTTTATGCGGTGTGGTGGTTGATTTGATGATTGTGGGGGTAGATTTTCGATACTAAGTAAATTGTAATGGCAAGTGATAATACTGATGCCTGTTGAATAGTGATCGAGTACTTGTCTTTTGATTCTTACTTCAGGAAATTCTTGTTTACTTCTTGTTTGCGCTATTTCCTTTTTTGAACAAATTTGCACTTAGATAAGGGTAAAATTGTAATTTTCCTTAGGGCACATTCAAACATGCCAAGTCGTTATCTTTGACAATGGTTGTAACACGTTTCGAATGATTTTTTTCGTTTGAAATTTGTATTTTTTCCATATATGTTTAGGACTTGATTAAATTTTTCTGCTAATTCATTGTCAGATTCTTCAACATTATTAAAAAATGAGGTTGTTGTTTGAATTTTATTTACGTTTTGTAGTTTTTGTTTTCTGTTTCCTCTCGTTTCCTTGTGATTTCAACTTGTTCGAAGTTGTCTCTTAATTTGCGGAAAACTATATCGGGTTCTCAGATTGATGATGAATATGATGTTCTCTTTTTTGCTGCAATTTTTCGTAATTGTGGTCTTAGAGTCATCTTCGTATTTTTGATATCACATGTATTAAGAGAATAGCTTTTCTTACTAGAGTTTTGATTCTTACTGCGAGTTCTTTTTTTGTTTCGTTCGAGAGTCTATGAATTCGAGAGCATCGAACTCTCTGATGTTGCTTATTTCGCTCAGAGACGAGCATATTTGGAAAATGTTGTGTAAATGGTTTCCAGTCGGATTTATATTCTATGGATGAAACTTATAACCATTTTTGAGCTGCGCCATTAAGTGTGGTTTGGGTTAATGCTGTACGTCTATGTATCCAATTTGGCTGTAGGGGTGTGCTTATAAATTCTGGGCCTATATTTAAGATTAAATTTGCTGTAACAGCATTTCAGAAGTAATTTACTGTGTATTCAGTGTCTGTTCCTGTAAAAATCAGAAATTGTGAGACAAGATTTTTTCTCGTCTTACTATTTTGCATGACAAGATGTTTGCGTAGATGATATATAAAATTTATCATTTGTTTCCATTATAGAATTATAGTTGTAAAAAATTGAAAAAACATCGTTTGTGAAAATTGAATTTGCTCTTTGTGAATTTTGGTGTTGTGTATTTTTGATATTTACCGTGAAAACCTTTGAGAAATCTAATTCTACATCATCTATTTTTATGCGGTGTGGTGGTTGATTTGATGATTGTGGGGGTAGATTTTCGATACTAAGTAAATTGTAATGGCAAGTGATAATACTGATGCCTGTTGAATAGTGATCGAGTACTTGTCTTTTGATTCTTACTTCAGGAAATTCTTGTTTACTTCTTGTTTGCGCTATTTCCTTTTTTGAACAAATTTGCACTTAGATAAGGGTAAAATTGTAATTTTCCTTAGGGCACATTCAAACATGCCAAGTCGTTATCTTTGACAATGGTTGTAACACGTTTCGAATGATTTTTTTCGTTTGAAATTTGGATTTTTTCCATATATGTTTAGGACTTGATTAAATTTTTCTGCTAATTCATTGTCAGATTCTTCAACATTATTAAAAAATGAGGTTGTTGTTTGAATTTTATTTACGTTTTGTAGTTTTTGTTTTCTGTTTCCTCTCGTTTCCTTGTGATTTCAACTTGTTCGTAGTTGTCTCTTAATTTGCGGAAAACTATATCGGGTTCTCAGATTGATGATGAATATGATGCTCTCTTTTTTGCAGCAATTTTTCGTTATTGTGGTGTTAGAGTCATCTTCGTATTTTTGATATCACATGTTTTTAAGAGAATTAGCTTTTCTCACTAGAGTTTTGATTCGTACTGCAAGTTCTTTTTTTGTTTCGTTCGAGAGTCTATGAATTCGAGAGCAACGAACTCATTGATGTTGCTTATTTCGCTCAGAGACGAGCATATTTGAAAAATGTTGTGTAAATGGTTTCTAGTCGGATTTAAATTCTATGGATGAAATTTTTAACCATTTTTGAGCTGCGCCATTAAGTGTGGTTTGGGTTCATGCTGTAGGTCTAGGTATCCAATTTTGCTGTAGGGGTGTGCTTATAAATTCTGGTCCTATATTTAAGATTAAATTTGCTGTAATAGCATTTCAGAAGTAATTTACTGTGTATTCAGTGTCTGTTCCTGTAAAAATCAGAAATTGTGAGACAAGATTTTTTCTCGTCTTACTATTTTGCATGACGAGATGTTTGCGTAGATGATATATAAAATTTATCATTTGTTTCCATTATAGAATTATAGTTGTAAAAAATTGAAAAAACATCGTTTGTGAAAATTGAATTTGCTCTTTGTGAATTTTGGTGTTGTGTATTTTTGATATTTACTGTGAAAACCTGTGAGAAATCTAATTCTACATCATCTATTTTCATGCGGTGTGGTGGTTGATTTGATGATTGTGGTGGTAGATTTTCGATAGTAAGTGAATTGTAATGGCAAGTGATATTACTGATGCTTGTTGAATAGTGATCGAGTACTTGTCTTTTGATTCTTACTTCAGGCAATTCTTGTTTACTTCTTAATTGCGCTATTTTCTTTTTTGAACAAATTTGCAATTCGATTAGGGCAAAACTGTAATTTTTCTCTAGCGGGATCGCTTTGTGGGTGGATGAAAAAGTAAAGAATAGAATCATCGTCAAAACTTTCATCGTATCGAATCAATTTTTGTGCGGAATTACAGCTAACCTATAAGCTTCAATACGCTTCATTGGTTGATTCCAATCATAGAATCTTACTCGTATACGAAGGCATGAACTTTTATTCTGCGATTATCTTATAGAGATGATGCTGTTGATGATTCTGATTCCGAAAAATACTTCAGGTCGTTTGTTGGTTTACTTTTATTGTCGATTGAATCTCAAAATCTTGGAAGTTCTTGTATTGTGGTCAAGTCAGATTGCAAAACTGGGTTGAGTGGTGTTCTGGAAAATTTTTGATTAAAAATTTAGTTTTGTTTTGTAATTTTTGCCCTTTCTCTTGTTTGTTTTTTCAATCTGATCTATCCTATTTTTTGTTTCTGTGGTGTAATTACAAGATCGTGTTTTTCGTTTTCTATTAAAAAATTGTGGAGAACTACTGTTTGCTTCTTTCCTAGATTATCTCTTGATATAAGTGTTAAGATGACTGTTGCAAAATCCAGGGGCTAGGTTTTTGTTTTTCTTAAACTGTTAGTTCTTACAATTTTTGCGAGGTTATCCTAATCTTGAAGCATAGATTGTTGAGTGTAGACGGGTTGGAGTGAGAGTATATCATTTGGTTAGAATGATATAATACTTTCTCGGTGATTAAATTCTACTTATGAAAACTTACATTATCTTACTTAGGATTTTGATTTGTGATCGAGGGTGGGAGGAAAATAAATCAATCTACAAGGTTCAAGTATAATTAGAACAACATCAGTAGATCGTTAGATACTATTCCAAATCTTACTAATTTTAGATATGTCCACGCCTCGTTCAATTAAGAGGGGGGGGTGTTAAGTGAACGAGTAGGAACCGAAGTTCTTCACTGATTTTTTAAATTAAAATGGTTAGTCATTCATAAATGTTTTTTTAATCTTGGGTCGTTGAGAAGGGTTGGAGAGTGAATCGACGTTTGAGGTTGTTAGACATTTTTTATTAGGAAAAGGGGAAATCATTTTGTTCTAATTGATCCAAGAAAAGCCTTGATAATCAAATATTTTGTTATAAATTATGACTTAAAACTGGGTTAAAATTCTAACGATCCAAGGATAGCCTTGACGATCTGTTTTTTAAAGAAAAGGTAAAATAAGTTGTTACGAAACAAGTATAGGCCTTGCTAAAATTTAAAAGTAAACTTCAAATTTAGAGGAAGGTTAAAAATATAGAAAAGAGTTGGTATAACAGTTAAAGATTTAAATGATATTAACTTCTGGGTGATTATGGTTATGTTTTAAGTGAACAATAAAGGAAGCATGATCTGCGAAAGGATGAGGTTGTTAGTCGTTGATATTGATTAGGCTCATTGAGACGTGCAAGTAAGTTTTCAATACTCCTTAACATTTTTGTGTTATGTGTTTGGATATAAGATATTTTATCTATTTTGAATTTGCTAAATCTAAATTGGTTGAGGTCCTTGTTCGAGAATCTTGATCGCAACAGATGAGTTTATGACCGGGTGGCTCACTGATTGAGTAATATCAGATAAGGAATACTGTCTGTTCATCACGCTGTATTTTTTTCGGCCGGATAGATTCGTGCAACTTCTTAGTCTAATACCGCTCTTAATTTTACTCCTATATCTGCTAGTCTCAATAGATCTAGTGTATACTGGTATTTGCGAGTTAAGATATCAGGAATTGTTCTGGAGAAGAACGACTGTTTGCTAAGTTAGGTTTAATCTGTTCTGCTGCTGCAACTATGAATAGTTTCAGCTACACAATTTATAGTAAGTGTTAGTTATGGATCATGATTGGTTGGTTAGAAATACTTTACAGAGATATTTTTTAACAATAATATAATTTGTTATAAATACTAGATTTAAACTGGTTCCAATTAATCGGCAAGATTATTTGAGGCAAATCAATTGTTCTAAAAGCATTCAATAACATCTCGGTATTCGAAATCTTGTGCAGCAAGTATAAAGGGCAGTCGGAACAAGCAAAGGCAGGCACATCATTTGTTGCTGAATTTTTAATGCTAATCTAGGGGCACAGCAAAGGAAAAGAGGTCCTGGTTGCGAAAGTTTCGATGGTCTGCATTGGCGTGTATGTCCTCACCTGGCTGCCCTATGCCACTCTTGGCTTGTCTGGTCAGTTTGTGGAACCACAACATCTCAAACCCTATGTGACCACCTGGCCTGCTCTGATTGCAAAAACAAACTGCATCTACAACCCAATCATATATGCTTTGGGACATCCCAGCTTCAAGTAAGTACAAGGGGTCATCACCTATCTGATGCATTTCGCCTCCTATACAATCTACAACAATCAATTATGCATAGCACTGCTTGATATCTTTCTAAAGGTTTTGGTGTGTCAAACAATGAAGAATCAAGATTTCCCGTGTAAAATGTTTTGTGAATCTGATTACGAGTTTCCAAAAATTGTTTTTTTTTTTCGTTTCTACTATCCAAATGCTCTACGGATATGCTTTTGATTTTTCGCAGTTTATCTGTTGAAACTTTTAAAACACACTGTTCTACATATAATTTAAGTTAAAATGAGTTTTTAAATTTAGATTAAATTTTAAAATCTTCAAAATTGCATTATTTTTCTTTAGAAAAGAATTGAAGCGACGATTGACTGGACCATAAGCAAACATTCCAGCCACGAATAAACCACAAATCACTGTGCCCAATGAACGCTTTCACATCTCACGAAATTGCCCGAGTAACCATCTCACTATTTCTCAATTCCCGAACGAAAAATATCTAAATTTGCAAGAAACTTAAATTCTCGACAAATAAATTTAGCAAAACCTGGCGTTTTCGAGATCCTGTTTTTAACTTTCAGCAAGCTAAGCATATAATGAGTTAATTTAGAAAAAACTGCTCTTATATTGGCCAATTATGGTATCTGGATTATTTTGGAAAACCAACATTGATTGGAATTTTCCAAAAATGAGGAAATATCTTTTTCATTTTTTTTTCAAAAACCGTACGACAAAAAAACTTAGATTCAAAAATAAAGAGATACCATCATACGCAAACGTTAACCTAAACAAGGCTTCTCGTATCAGGGCGGAACCATGCATGTTACGACTGCCTTTTTTTAGGTATATGGAGCAGTAATAACATCAAAAAAATTAAAGGTAACAAAAAAAATGAACAAAAAAACAACACTTTAGTAAATTTGCAACTGCATGGGAGACCAGCATGGGATCTACAGATCCGTTTTCAGGCGTCTCTGAGCGGAAAACAGAGTTACTACATTTGTCTACATTAATTGAGAAGATTGCCTGATAACCATTTTGAACCTATTTCGTGAAGTCAATTCAATTCAAAACACGGGTGTGCATCAAAAATCCACAGAAAATAACAAAACCAAAAAAACACAAAAAACTGGAAACTATAAAATACGGAGATACATTTTTCTAAGTAATTTTTTGTTGTCTTTGATGAACCATTCCAAAAAAATGTTTCCGGAATGCTTTTTACTTCATTACGAACTGCAGTTGCTATAAAACTTCTGCAAATTGGATAACAAGAATTCTAACAAGAATTCTATCAAGAGATAATATACATAGCTACTGCCACTTTTGGAGCCTAAATACTTGCCTCCGTTAACTTGCCTAATTTTTCATTATATGCGAAACTGAATAAACGATGAACAGGACTTTTCTTCTGAACATTTTTGATAAAATTTCTAAGAACTCATTTAAAATGAATTTCTTTTTCGGAGAGTAGTCTGTTTTTAATTTTAAGTCGAAGATCTGTTACTGACTGATACTAACCGATTCTAAACATGACTTTGAAGAAACTTTTCAGTTGTTTGTTTTTTCGATTCGTGTGCCCAATTTCTGTACTCAATAACAACCTGCGCCTAAAATGTTTTAAAAAATCGGACTGGATGTTTAGTTGACAAATTTTCCTCAATCTAGAAAAGAAGTGCCTGACTTTAAGATCAACTGCGATTTGAATTTATTTTCTACTTGCGCAGCAACTAGCTTTTTGGTTTTTCTTTTAAAATGAAATAAAAGCTCCTGATCTTTTTGAAGCTCCGCTTTGCTTCTTCGGCTTACAGTTAAAGATATATCAATTATTTGTATACTAAAAATTACGGTACAAAAAAATTAAACATTTGAGGCAAAAGTGCGAAAATGCAGACAGTAACTGCCAAAATTTTTACCAGTTATAGTTTTTAGTTAGAAGTTTGTTCGAGCTAGACAAAACAATCTTGACTAAATTTACAGTCTTGTAAAGTAATTGGATTTTTAATATCGTTTCCCTGATTGAAACTAAATCAGGGGATCTATAGAAAAAAAAATGAATTACCCTAGAATACTGTGAAATTAGTTAAGATTATTCGGTCTAGCTCGAACAAACTTGTAAAATTATAAATTCAAACTCCTCAACTTGAGGATTTTGCAAAAATAGGAGCTTCAATTTAGTTCTAAAATATGCAGTTGAAACATTTAAACTATAAGTAATTTTGCAATAACATAACCAGTCGGAGGTATTGTTAAGTTGATCTTAAATTAGGAAGCAATTTGGTGGTAATTTGAGATGAAGTACAGATGAAAATTCAGCTGAAGGACTTGTACAATCAAAAGTTAAATGAGCTTCATGGTGGTGTTCAAGTGCTCTTTTAAACTCCACACCAGACCACCGATCATATAATTAAAATGTAAAAATAGTACTTCCAGGAGATAAACATTTTAATTAGACCAATTGTGACGCACTAGGGGGTAAATTTTCACGTACCCTTGAGAAACAACACGCCTCCGCCACGATTGGCTGAAAAAAATTGTGATTAGTCGGGCGAAGCATATTTAAGCTGCGTCGAACTCATATTTGCACTTTTTTTGGCCAAAAAATCTGGGAGACACACTCAATATTGTTCGAAAATGAAGAGACGAATTTTTGGTCGAGAAAGTTGAAGCACCGAGTTTTGACTGAGAAAGACGAAACATAAAGTTGAGCGCCTCTACAGACGGGTAGACCTGCACACCCCCCGATGATAGCGAGACGCATCTTGGTGGAGTGTGGAGGGCGCGGTCAAGGAGCACATAATTAGGTCTCTCATACAACAGTGCCATGACAATTTGATGCAACGCAGAGTTAGGCAAAGATCCAAAAGATTAGCAGGCTAACAAAGTATAATTTTATGCAACAAGTTTTTATGCAGGACCACAATAACGCTCTCAAAAATATAATTTTGCGTTAGGTTTCAACTCGTAATTTTTTTTGGGTATTTTTTTGGATTTAAGGGAATTCGATCCTTTCACCACCCAAAGGGTTCCCCTATGGCACTATCATACAATATCTTTATTCGCCAACCGATTCTAAAAGTTTTCTAAAGGCCTCTGTAGCGTCAAAAGATCCTAATTTTGAGGGGAACCGCTCTACGAAAAATAAACGTAAATTTCTGTCAAAGACATCGAAAATGTGCCCAAAAACAGCATTTTTGACCTGTTTTTTTTTTATTTGCCTATGATGCAGAAAATTTTGTCAAATTATGGTCGCCATGGTGTTTTTAAACATTTCGAAAAATCAATTTGATCGACCTAGAAAAAACTTTTTTTTTGGAAAGTCCGCCGATTTTTTTTTTGGAACGTCCGCCGCTCTCGAGAAAATCGCAGATCCATCTCCGCGACCCACGTTTGGCAATTCCAGATAGTCTTGTTTAAAATTTGTTAATTACTGACAACTGGGGCCAACATCTTCTAACGATTTCTTCGAGAATATCGTGAAACTGAATGAAAGCCAATTCAATTTTTTTTGCTAAGCTCATGTACATCTAAATTTCTGATATAAAAGCGGGCAGGGGTTGATCTGCGATTTTATAGTTTCTCTCTTGATTTTTTGAAAAACCTGGGATTCTTTATTGCTGAGTCTACGCCCGATAACCTAACCAAAAAGTAAAAATAATATAATTTAAAAATAATTATACAATATAAAAATAATATAATAACCTAAGTTGAGACTTTGAGCAACAGCACGAGTAAGTTCAGATTTTCCGCTGCAGCTCGATATTTGGTCAAATCAAATTACTCGGAGCAAAAATTACCGCAGATCCCGACACGGTTTTTTTATACAAGAGAGTGATTTCCAATCAGATTTCAGCTTCATTTTGTAGAGTTTACCTAAACATTTTGTGTTCAATCGAAAACAAAGTTCCATTTTAGAAAATTTTACACATTGTCGATTCCAATCACAAAAAATGTTCTTTTTTGTTATGGTGGTGTATCCAATGAGGGAAAAGTTTATCTTCTAAGGATCTAAATCTCCCAGTTAGGATAGAATAAGTATAAAAGCAATCGCAAAAACGAATGAAATTTTTTTGCTGTAGAACTAAGAAACATTGCCGATTAAAGTAAAAGAAAAAATAAAATTAAAAATGTAGCATCTCTGCAGTGGCTTTTTTTCATCAACTTATTATATGCTTTTGTATCTACTCAACAAAAATTTGCTGATTTTTGAGAATATAGTGAAATTTTTGATTTAGATGTAGCTTTGAGACGAAAGCTCGAAATTGATGAATTTTTCAAAGCAAGTCTCTGGATATCTTATTACCTACCTAATTACAAAATAATTGGAACTTTGAAAATATTTTTAAAAAAGAAGAAAAAAAACTTATTGCTGGATAGTTTTGACAAATCTGGGCATCGGCTCAGAAATAAAACATAACTTTGATATATTTTCAGATCGTTTTTGATTAATTCCAAAATTTCTAGATTATATAAAAATTCTTTTCTAGTCAGGTGTAATTCAACAGTAAGTTTCAAGCTTTGCTTTTTAATATTTGGCTCAAAAGTAAACTATTTGATTGAATAAATTTTCCTGAATAGACCTTTTTTTTAGTCGGAGAACTCTTTTTTGGAGAACATAAAAAGCTAAAAAAATTGTCAAAAATGTAAGAGTCCATTTCATCAATCAGAAAAACAAAAGGAATTTTTTCTTTTTTCTTGTGGAGTAACTCGAGGGAAATCAGCTGCTTTTAATAGACATTTTTCAAATAATCAAAAAATTAAAATGATAAAACAAATTTAACAAAGCTTAATTCTGATTGGTTGATTTCGAAATTGTTTGGTTAATTTTTTTGAGCGACGGCAAAAAAAATAACTTCATTCTAAATATCTATTGAACTAAAAACAGTCGTTCAATACATTGTACAAATACTTTAATAAAACTTTTTTTTTCTCAAAAGTCATAGTAAGTATAAATCTCTGAATAAAGTTTTGGGACACTTCAAATCTCTGAATAAAGTTTTGGGACACTTCAAAAGTTTTGGGACACTTTGATATGTACCAAATTCTAAATTTTTGACTTCGATACATAAAAATTTCCCAATTTTTAGAAGCTGATTCTAGATATTAGACTTACAATCATCAAGAGTTGAACTATCGTGTGGCCAGGAAGCGTAATTCATCAACTTCCAAGCAGTCAACGGTTTGCTCGTCTTGTAACAATGAGTTTCTGAGTTGCTGCACTCTTCAACAACATCGGAGAAAAAGAACATGAAATAAGCAATGGAAACCAAGTGATAATGTAGCAGACTTGAAGAACATACTGGAGAAGGAAGGGGAGTATGGAGTGAAAATCAAAGAGGCGTTGAGTGCTAATCATTTTTTCTGGTAGATACAGAAATGGAAAACGGGAAACATTAAGTATTTAACTTCCAAATGACCAAGTTTGATACTAAGGTTATCATTGAAAAGCTAGATGAAGTGGTCAATAAGCTCAATTCCGCTGCGAAAACCAGAATTTGTTTTTCGTAATGTGGAAATGGAGAGTATCGGTACTACTACGCACACGAAA